CTCTCCCTCTCTCCCTCTCTCTCTCTCCATTAATATTTTTGCGATTCAATAAAGTAGAAAAAGTTATAACGAAGAAACAAAACATGTTTTTAAGAACGGTAACGCTTGAAAAATTGGTTTGGCTAAATTCTATCCATGTTTAGGATTTTTAGAGTTAATTTTTTACGAAACACGAGATCATTACAAGGAGCGACATATAATGTCGAATTTATTCCCTTCGAAATTCCCAAAATTCGAGATTCCGCGTGTCCCGTCGTAAACCAATTTGTGCTTCTAACTTCTGAAGACAGTTTCTATTTTCTATCACGATAATCGAACCTTACTCATTAATTTTCTCATTTCGACAAAAAGGCAACTGCACATTCACCAGAAATGCGAAAATCTTAACTTTGCAGTGTTTTTTGTTTCGTATTGCTACAACTTCTAGAATTGAAGATAAATCGACGAGCGTATCGAGCCGCGTTTTCAATCAGCTTGGCGCCATGTTAGCGAATTTTTTAATGGGACACGTGCTACGTTCCGTTTTCGTGGAAGTGAGAGCAGGTCCGCATTCCAACGTGTCTAGACAACGTAATGTGTTTACTTCAGGTGGTGGTTGGAACGCGGCCTTGCCCCTACCAACGTGCTGCGGCAACTGGCCGTTTGCCCATTCACCCCACTCCCGCGGACAGTGCATTAGTATTCAGTAGGCTGCATGTTTGTGTCGAGTGTGTTGCTATAGCAGGCGCACCACAGGAAGCGTTAGTTCACTGTGTTGGATGCTCTAGAACGCATCGAAATTGTCAAGAGTCAATTCGCGAACGAATTGACGTAAAGACACAAAAAGCGATCTTCTTGAGTGCATTGATGATATCCTGTCGCAAAAAAAATGCGACTGCAGCCGAACATGTCGCGATAGAGGTCGAGAAAATCTGAAATCATGACACGCTTTCTTGTTGACTCGCGAAATAATCGCTTATATTATTTTCTTTGTTTCTCATTTCGCAACGATATAAGAGACCAATGTTAGATTAAAGCGAAAAAATAAACTATAACAGTGCTATGACTTATTTCTCCCTTTTGACGTCATAACCCGAGGAATTATTTCGCTCCAGTAGGTCTTTGCCGTTGAAATTGATCGGATGTAGCCGCGCATGAAATTCAAGGAGCGCGTTTATAGCCACGTCGTTTGTCGGACGAAATCAGCCGTTCGGCACAGATTGCGCAATTATTTCGACAGCGCTTTTCGGCCAATTGAAGAATTTCAACGTGCCGACCGACGAGCCGAATCCTTCGAATTCCGGATTAGTGACTAGCTTCGAGCTTAGAGAAAATGGAGCCTGACGTGCACGGTATTCCACTGAGGTCCTCTTACGATTTACACTTACGTTATTGAGAGAAGTAATATGCTTAATTTCACGCAGAGGAATATTATATCATATAAATCCGCCCAATTTTTCTTCCTCCTATTGAAATAAAGTCGAGATGGTCATCAAGACAATTGGCTATTGTAAATACTAAATCAGGACAGTCATCAGAATTATCACAAGCAGGATTGTTCTCCTGATAGGGATTCATTGCTTTGATCGTAATTATAATTCTAACAAATAAATAATTGACCGTTTTATAAGGAACGTGAATTTCCGTGGATATGCTTCGAGTTACGTAACGAGCGAAAATTGGATTGACATTTACGTAGAATCAAGATCTGATTACGGTGCTGTTACATCTCTCACGCGTCCAGCAGATGAAGAATCTCGTCATTATCCGTCGTGTCGGATATTTTCCTCCGTCGCGAATGTAACAATAGCGATTCGGAGCGTGGGAGACGAGGAATAGAGCGAAGGAAACAGCAAGAGAGAGAGAAACATTTCTCACGAGGACGACGAATGCGTTTTCCTTCGCTGCTCGTCGCCAGTAATCAGAAACTCGGGCATAAACTTA